GATAGATGTTCTTCTAAAACTATGTGATGAGAAGTTTCAGAGCCTTGGTTGCTAAGCTCTGATTCACTCTCTTCTTCGTCTTCTCTTTGTAATTCCTCGATTACTGTACTTTGCGATAACCATAAACGACTTATTTTAACAAAAAATGCTTTAAAACACCAAAACTCCAAGCTGAATTAGATAATATTGACATGTGTATGTCGCGTTGGGCGTCGCGCGTAACCTATTCGACGACAGGCGCGTGTAGTCTTTTCAACGACTGCGCCAGAGCCTAAAAAAATGTAATTTGTGGAGTGTAGAGAGCGCTTCAAGCAACGAAATAGTTTTTATTTTACTCCTAAAAAGATAGTGACAGGCTACTAGAAATAAGAAATGCATGTGGCAACTAAAAATAAAAATACGAACGAAAATGTATTAACCGCGGTCGATTCGACTACGCGCGCCCGCTTGAAGGTTAAATTAATTTCGCTCTGTTACGTGCAATAGTCAATCAACAAGGATCATTTACATATTACAATTATTTACCTGGTAGAAGTGATAATTTTCTTAGGTTTAATTTTAAGACGTTTGCCGCTTGTGATGGGTTCGTCATCTTCACTTTCGCTTTGAGATTCGGATTTATTCTTATCACTCATTGTAGCATCTAATAGAGACCTTTTCAAAGATTTGCACTCCTTCTTACCATTGTCATTTGTTTCTTTGTCACTGTTTTTATCTACATCTTCTTCATCTTTTTTGACTATCTTTTTTCTTTTAAATTTACCTTTATGTGCCTTTATTTTCTTCCGCTGCGCTATAGCATTGCTTTCAACATTATTCAAATTGTCTTTATTAGTTTCACTGTTCTCTACATTATCGGCTGTTTCATTGGAATGTGTGTTTACGTCACTTTCTGGTGTGGTTTCTAACCTTAACTTCTTGGGAGGTAAAGGGTCTTCTACTTTTAGTTCTTTGTCAGGACTTTTCTCATGTTCATTTTCTGTGTTTACAGTATCGTCTTGGTCCACGGAGGACACACTACTCTTTCTCTTCTCAATAATACTTGTTTTACTATCATGACAATTATCAGTCTCTGAGTTAACTACTTCTGTACTTTTGTTTAAGTTTAAATTCCTGGCTACATTGCTTTTCTTCTTAACTTTCCCCCTCCCCTTTTTAGCATTATTCTTTTTAGGACTTTCACTATCTGTGGTACTTTTATCATTACTAGCTTCTCTTTTTAATTCATTTTCCGTATTCTTATTAGAATTAGAACCATCCGATTGATCTACGTCGCGGACGCAATGTTTTTTAGAATCAGTATTTAACACTTCTGTGCTATCGTCATTGGATTGATTTTTTAAAGTTCTTTTCGTCACAGAAGGTACACTACTTTTTAATTTAACATTTTTAACTAAATTATTTTTATTGCTTGAATTTGAAAGTTCGTGAGGATGTTCACCATTAAGACACTCTTCATTGCCGTTTTCTTCAGTGGAATTTTCTTCGGGACTATGAGCTTGTTCTATAGTTTCGGGGTTACCAGTGTTATTGTCGTATCCCCAGCCTTCGCCATAAAAAAACATTACAGGTTCTGAAATTTCTTCACCAATTATATAGGAACTATCGCAATCCGCGCCATTTCCCTCACCAGTGACCAACATGACTGGTTCTTCAATAGCTTCGCCTACTTCATTCTCATTAAGTTTTTCACCGTCATCTTCTTTGCTTTCATCAGCTGATGTCATATCTTTAGTTGGTGCTGCTTCTTCAATTGCTTTTTCTTCTTTGTTTTCTTCTACTGGTCTTGGAGACTCTGCTTTCTCAGGACTTTTTGCTGGTTCTTGTGGCACTTCTATTTTCTCCTCCTCTGCTGTTATAGGTTCAGGTTCAGGAACTGGTTCTGGTTCTTGTTCTTCTATTGTTTTTGTATCTGGTTCAACAACCTCTTTACTCTCAGTAACTTCTTCCGGCTCTGTTTCTTCCTCTATAGGATCTTCTTTCTCTTCTGTATTACTGGGAGGCTCCTCTTCTTTAGTTTCCACTATATCCTGTACGGGATGTTCTTCAGCAATCTGTTCTTCATCTTTCTGTTCATCAACTTTCTGTTCATCAACTTCATGTTCGGATTCTGATTCAGGACTTAGGAACTCTTCTTCATTTTCTCCTTCACCATCACCTTCTGATTTGTTTGTCTGTAACAGTTGGGAGTTAGTTAAGTTCTAGCTACAATTCAAAAGAATCAACAGTAGAATTCGGCACTAACACAAGTTATCTTCTAAAATCATGTGCTTGGCCACTGAATAAATTTTAAACTAAGCTTTGATAAAAATAGTTTTGTATTACAACTACATAATAGCACTGTTTACAATTTAAAAAGTTTCCTATAAGACATTTCCTGTTACTTCTAACCATAAAATCGTAAAGTTAACTCATTAAAAAAGGTGGGCTAGTTCAACATAGTTATACTTTAAAACTAAATCAAATCACATGAAAGTTCATGTACATTAAGTTGATACAGGTTTTTTATATTACTTAAAACAAAAAACTAAAGTTACCTCCAACTGTGGTGGAATCTCCGCACTACTGGAGTCTTCATTGACATTACTGGTAGTAGCAAATAGTGGGGACACATCCTCACCACTTTTCAATTGTGATATTACTTTAACCAACTCCTCCCGAGTCCTAAAAAACAATTCAATCAAAGTTATTTTAAAACTTCACAAAGAATTCTAATCAGAATACTATAAGAAAGTTTAACTAAAGTCAATACCTAACCGAAAAGTATTTTTAGCATCTGTCCAATTTGATTTAAATATTTTAATACATTTCATTCATGAATTCAAAGCATTTAAAATGCTAATAAGATTAATGTATCTTAAACAACTTGATTGTATGTAAAGCAGTATTTTATGTCTTTTTTAAAAACTTTTGGTGTTTACTTACCTAGCTACTAGTTGCCATGTCTCTTCATCCTGGTCTTCTTTATACAAACAGAGATTGGCCTCATGGTCCACCTGCAGCCAATACACACAACCGTTCTTATCTCTGCCAACGGGGTCCAACCTCAATTCCTTACATGATATTGCATTGACAGCATTCTTGAACTTTGGATGGCAAGTAAATTGGAACTCTAGTAACAACTGTTGAAAAAAAAATGTGACAAACAAAAAAATAAAAGAATGTAAATAGATCAAAACAATTGACACAGAAACAAAAAAATTGGCAAACAGCCATAAAGATTTAAGATAAAAATTGTAAATATAAAAAAGATTCCTACTGGAATGTAATTCACATTTCATTTAGAATACATGTATAAACATATTTATTTGTACATTATTTTGTATCACAAGGAGTTGTTATGCACTTAAAAGTAAATACATTTAACCATTACAAGCAAGTACCCTACACAGACAACACATACATAAGTATGAATCATTTGTGAAAGTTATATGCCAGCATTCAATAAGATTAGATGCATATAATCTTAGCAAAAACTGAGTAGGCGTAATTACCTTTAATACTTTCAATTTAACCTGAGTACTAGCTTTCTTGTAAGAAAACCTTTCGATCTCCCAGGCTTCCTGATGATGACCTTGTTGGTGGCAAAACTTGATCATAAACCTCTCCCATCTGTTGCTAGCCACCGTTTTATGAGCACGGCGCAGAAGTCTCAAGTGTAACTCCTTCAATGGATCCAACACTAACAACAAAAAACTTATAAGATGTTTGTTTATGAATTGGAATGACGAATCTACCAAGATAACTCACCTTCTTGTGTATTCTCTATGAGTTCTTGTAATTTAGATATCGTAGGAACCTCTAAGCCGTACAGTTTGCCAAATGTTTTTAGAAATGAGTAAATAACAGCGAAATTAGGATCATTCGCACACGAAATTTCACCATCGGACGCCATCGTCGGAACTTAACAAGCTTTTTCACTAAACATCACTAATGGTTCTAAATACAGATATATGATTATTTCACTTATATCTAAAGGGAAGTTGTAAAACATGTACATGATTCACGAAAATATGTTCATTTTATGTGCACTCAAAGCTTCTCTTCTTATTTTCTAAGATAGTAAAATAAAACTCGATGACAGCCATCGCTCCATAGACCATTCAATTATTTTTTTAAGTAAACATATAAATAGTGACAGTCAATGTTTGAATCAAAGACAATTTTTGAAAGTAAAATTCCATTTCACTGAAATAATTTTATGTACCGCAATTATACAAAATGTTTATATAATGTTAGTTCTTTTTTGACATATGGATATTTATATAAAAGTACCCAACTATAATTTAATATAAGATAAGCGGATGCTGCTATCATGCAATGCAGGAGTTTGTGCTATATTTTTATTGTACATATGCACCTGTTTCTGCTTATGCATATTTAGAGGAATAAGGTGTGCGTGTGATGTTTTGTTATTATATTGGTATTGTTAAAATTACCACGAATGACGTCTTTGAAAATTTATAAACAATTGTATTCAATTCATGCTATTCGCATTCGCACACTCGCGCACTGTTTTATGTATTTAAATCTGCCAGTCTGCATTATACAGTGAGCAAGTCATATCAATATGAGTGCGAATCGTCTATTATCCGTTGTAATAATTTCTGCTTTCGCTTGTGTTCTTGTGGCTGTAAATAGAACTGATGCAAAAGTAATATTGTTTTATTATATAAAAATCAATGTAATATTATCCTTACGGAAGGTGAAGGAAAATACTACATCACTAGAGATGGGCCATTTTTCGGATAAATACCTAAAAGGGTAAATAATGAGTGCAGTGGCATTAAGTGCTGTAATGTGCACCTCTGCCTCTGCCCTTCAGGGATAAGAGGCGTGATGTTATGTTTTATCCAATTTTTGAAGTACGTAATTGAAGGAAACGGATAAATACTCGAATTTAGTTTGCTCGGTTTTAATCCATTTTGAGAATTCATTTGAAAAATCGCCTATCTACATTGTACATGCATCACTACTGCTGTCAAGTCAGATTTCCACAGGCTCATTGATGTGTTTTATAACCTGTGGTTACAAAACCCCATTGAGTGAAACGAGTGTTTGGTTTCGTTTACTTTTGAGATTTTGTGTGACTGCTTTGTTTCTTAGTGTTAGAATAATTAACTTACAATATTAGCCAAGATGTCTTCAGTTTGTTGTGGAACAAAAAAACAGAAACTAAACAACTCGTATAGTAACAGTATAGATCGACCTTTGAATGGTTACCAGGAGTCTGTAGCTATTCCTGATATGTGTTACTTTTGTTTCGATGTTTTGTATTGTCAGCTGCATAGTATGGACCCTCCTCAGACGCCAAACTTTACTAATGATGCCTAGTAAGTGGTTCACTCTCGTAAGTACAAGTATAGTCTATCAATTTCGACATCAAGTTCATGATATTAAGTGTGTGCTGTGCTTATCCTGTTGGACTGCTTTGTTGAACTACCTTTGTATCTTTTGTTTCAAATGAGGTCACTCTTCTAGTGAATTAAACCCTTTACGTTTTCGAAAGAAACTTTTCAAAGCCACTTGTAGTTACACATTTCCACTTTCACTCAATTACCATAATGTGGGAATGTAAACATAAATAATTTATATTTACTCATATGTGACACCCACACAAAGGCAGTGTTGTTTTTTATTCGCGGTCAATACACCTCCACTCCCATCACTTTCCGAAAATGTGCATACTAATTTATTCTTTATGTTAAAGTGCATAAAGTTTAAATTGGCTTATCTTATTTATATACAGTTTTGGTATAGTGTTGTTGTGCTAACTGCTATTACAAATGTCTTAATGTGCAATAAAGCTAGACTTTACCTAATGTGCTAACAAATTGAATGATTCAGCTTTATCCATTGTTTTATTATTATTATTTCACTTTCAAATATTTTTGTAATTTTTCACAGTCCTTTGTTTGTGACTTGGAAGATTGGTAAAGAGCACCGTCTCCGAGGATGCATCGGGACATTCAATGCAATGCATTTACATTCAGGTATGATGTTTGAACAATACTTTTATACAATATACCGATGTATTTATAATATACATAATCATGTGTGCATTCTTGAAGGGTAGCCGTCTGACCTTGCTTGCTCATTAGTAAGTTAATGCTATACCAATAACATATAACAACTTGCCTCCATAATACAATACATTACAAATTTTATAAGTCACAACATCAGTGTCATGATACATGTATCAATACAGCCATTATTTTGCAATTATGAGATAAACATTATCTTAACTTCTTCATAAGAACATTAAATAATAAGCTAACTACATAATCAAGACCTTCTTTGTTCGAAGAAATATATTTCTCAATGCTACACAAAACATTTGGTAAAACAAAGAAATGTTGACGTTTCCCACTGGAAATTAACTACTGTCTTTGGAATTTAATCAAACTTATTATATAAATGAGAACCTGACCAGGCAAACTTCGTACGGTGCCAAATTTTTTCTCATTGTTTATACTTTCTTGAAACCAATCTCAATGTCAATAAAATTTCAATAATTATTCATTGTCAAAACTATACAACCCCTATCGTAGCTGTTAAAATAGGATATATCATTCAGAGTATGGAATATACAGCCAAACTCAATACCATTTAGTTCATTAATTATTCACACAACACGGATGCAATGGGGGCTAGTGCCGTAACTCGAGAGTACGAAATTTCACAATACCAATGTCGATCAGTCGGAATTGGATTCAAGAGTAAGCCCCCTGGACTTCCACAAACATTTCAAGGTCAAAATAGCCAAATTGGTTCCCCGATCTGGAGTTTTAGCGAGACTAACAAACTGAAATTAGTTTTTATTTAGATAGAATAGTGATTCTCTATGTATTGTTCCAATAAGTATATATAATGTCATCATGATATAGGATTAGTTGCATTGCAAAAGACTTTCCTAACTTTTACTGATTGTTTCCAAATATTGGTACAACCAAACAAAATAACTTCCAAATAATATTAATCAGAAGAAACTTGTGACACTACTTGACTATGAGCCTCCTCTACATAAGGGGGTTTTGCCATAACTGCAATTGACAGGCAAGGTTGTGATCGCATTATATTAGGATCAGGTTTTTTTTTATACCAAAATGGGAGCAAAAAGCACACGGCCCACTTGATGGTAAGTGGTTTATATGATGCTGCCCAGTCTGTTGATGTAGTTTCTTGCTTGTTCTTCTCCATAGGAATCTACACCTTGGAATGAGTAAATAGCTTCACTTTTAATTTTATTGTCGACGTTCAAAAGTGCCTTTCTATTTTGACTTTGTTCTTAATGTTACTCCCGTAGTCAGTTCTTGGATATCTAAACCAGGGATGTCCGAACAAAGGCCAGCGGGCCGTATGCGGTTTTCTTATGGCCCGCGACATACGTTTTAATCTCAACATCTTCATCTTATGTGCAACAACAATAATAAAATGTAATGTATGATTTGTCTACAAGTTTTGTCTGTGAGTAAAGAATATAATATTAAACGTACACAAACATATAGGTAATACAACAGAAAACATTTTTCTGACCCTTCAGCTTTTGTAAGAAATGTAATTAGCCCGCGAGGGTATATATAGTTTGGATAGCCCTGGTCTAAACCATGCAAATGTCTACTACTGAACCGTCGCCACACGGCATATAACATTCATATTTCATAAAAAATAATCTCCACTTTCTATGATCGCAGGTCTTCGTGAATACGCAATAACGAGTGCTTTAAAAGACTCGCGGTTCGCTCCAATTACTCGTGAGGAGGTGCCGCGGCTGACAGTGTCAGTTTCCATACTGCAGCACTTTGAGGAGGCCGAGCATTACCTGGATTGGAAGCTCGGCAAGCACGGCATCCGCATCGAGTTCATCAGTGAACGCGGCACCAAGCGCACCGCCACCTATTTACCTCAAGTTGCTACTGAACAAGGTTTGTATTTTGTTTGACTGAAGTTGAACAGTGAATTGTCTCCGATTTTATAGATTTTTAATTCTTTTGAACCAAAATGCTGTTTTAATTCTAATTCTATAGCCTCGTAAAAGAAATAAATTCAGATCAATCACGAAGGGTCTACAAATGTCGATTTATCATCAAACTATAGCAGTAGCTAGATGTTGTTTTATTTACAAGTGGTTTAGCTTATCAATTTTTACAAATTGATTATTAATTTTCCTCTCATTTATTCCCATTAAACATGTTTATTTTGTGATATCAGTGGCGTGATGACTGATTATGATGCGCAGAATCGGAGAACCAATTTAACAATTTTATTTTATTAGTTCTTATGCAACTTGGCGGGATTTCCAGGTTGGGACCAAATCCAAACGATTGACTCTCTGCTGCGAAAGGGCGGGTACAAGGCCGCCATTACGGGCGAACTGAGACGGAGCATCAAGCTGACTCGCTACCAGTCCGAGGAGATCTCCGCCACCTACAACGAATACATCAGCCAGCGCTGCTAGCAGACGGTAAACGTGCCCACCCGCACCCAACTTCATAACAATCCAAGACTTGTGTATCGCAGTAAACCTTATGCACATAGCAATAAGAGATACCGTGGGAATGGGGCCGGGCAGAGTGTTTACAAATATTGTGCTAGAAATAACGTAGCTTGTAAGTGTATGTCTAGTGTCCAGAATCAGTTTGCGAGGAGGCATTGTGAAGTGAGCGCTCGTTCGACTCGAAATGTCACCAGTCAGAATTCTGCTCAAAGTGCATTGACGAGCCAACCCAGACGATCCTGTCTGATTCAAATTATTTAAAGTTAAGATACAACACTGCCAACGACATTCCTCTGTGGATACCATCTTAAGTGCCATCTCAATAACTGTAATGCTTATGAATTAATATTAACATTGACTTGCAGGATTCATAATAGCGTCACACGATTGTATACTTCATTAGTTGCAACTAGTTTTTGAGTTAATTTAAAATTAAGGGTGTTTTTCATCGGCAATACACTTTGAACGAAATTTTGAAGGACATATTTAGTTATTATATTGTTATATAACTGTGAGTCTAATAATTAAAAACATTGGTTAGTGATTTATGTGTAATTTGACTCATGGTTGGCTAGTTAAGGGTTGCCCATGCTTCCATTATTGATGATCTTGTATTACTGATTGAATCTACGCAGTTTTTGGTATGGTTACAATTTCATATTAAAAGTCCAAATGTAACATGTATTAGTCTTAGTATGTGTTCTTTATTTGAATAGTTTACTTTTGGCTTTTCTATGATCACTAGTCCAGAGGCTTTAGTACGAGTTTGATTTAAGTTTAAAGTATTCGAAACGAGTATGCGTTCTGCGCTCTGATTGGCCGGCTCGAATAAAACAACCAATCACAGCGCCGAACGCGTACTCGTTACAATTACTTTAAACGTAATACAAACTTGTACTAAGACCTCTGTATCTAAATAGTAAACGAGTTAACGAGTAAAATAATATATTTTCGTATTACTCAGTTGCAAATCTGGCTTGTAATTGTAATAATACCGTCTGTCCAAGGCTATTTTGTCGCATGACTGGCTTTCATTAGCCTTACTCCACTTTTAAACTACAAATGAACCGTAATAATGACATAGATAATTTGTTTGAGGCCTATCTGTGTTAGGAGGACTTTGAAACTATTGATTTTATACTATCAACTATTCTAGTCCGTTTATTTGGGAAAATAACAATATTTATTTAAGTACATTGGTTTTTTAAATGTGAAATTGTAACTACTTTCATGTATTGTAACTCGGATCTCAACGTAATATCATTACGACATTTTTTATAAACAAAGTATGTACTTACATGAATCTGCTAATTTTGGGTAAGCACCCTTCAATTATCATGTAAGTAATATATTAGATCGAAACAATATAATGTTGTCGAAAAAAAAATATCAAAAATATTTTAGTGAAAAAAATTCTAAAAAAAACATATAAGAATTAAAGTGAACAAAAAAAGTAATTACTTTAAGAATTCATTTGATTTTAGAATGTAAGTGTGTCTTACTTTTTAATTATTTTGAACGCAGAATATTGTTATGTGATTCACAGTTCGTCGGTTCGGCGATTGATTTGTTGAGGGGGCATGGGAGATTGTATGTTTCGTTATCTTAGTATTCTTATACATATCTACATACAGAAAGACGAATAATAGTTGCCTTGAAACCTATTAACTTGTTCTCCTAAGTCATCTATGACTGGCGAAATCAAATATTTCCATCATGAAAATCTGTCCAGCCGTTTTCGAGTTACGAGCGGTATAACTAACATTTCATATTAAAATATGTACATTAATACCAAGATTTCAGAACCATTCAGATTGTTGGAAATGTGTAATTAATAAAATTTGTAATAAATTGTTTGAACTACAAAGACAGTTGTTTTAACATCAAGTTTATACGAAGAAGTATGGCTTCTTAAGACAGTAGAATGTACAAGGAAAGTTGTATCGGTCGTGTAGGTACAACCAGCCAAGCTATTTAGTATACGGGTAAGAAAATATAGATTGATTCAGTAGGTACAGTACAGAGACGGTAACCATTGGTTGACTACGGTAAAATGGGGTGAATAGGGATTGAGCGGCGAAAAGGGACAGAAAACTAGTGAATAGATATAAGGAAATTCTTCATAGTATCGATTCACCCCTCTTCTTCATACCCCATCTTACGATACTGAGCTAAGCAATGGGTACAAGCTTCATTTAATAAATAGCTACTGTATTTGTCCTGAATTAATATTTATTTTCTTAACTGCATAATGGTGAAACGGGGTGAATAGAATTCGAGGGGTGAATAAATATTAGAACCTTTACAATAGGTACTTGAATTCTATTCACCCTGTTTTACGGTACTAAATAATTGGTTGATTGTATGTATTATTATCTATTATGTTTGGAATTTCAAAGGATAATGTGTCATTAAAATGAAGTTAGAAAAATAGTTGTACTTTAACATTACAGTTAGTATGATGATAAACAGGAGATTTTAAATACAAAGATCTCCAACAATAGTTTAGTACTAAATATTTCAAGCTTGTAACTACACAGAGAGGGTAAGCCCGATTCTCGTTTACATATTTACCCTGAAAATAAGGATTGTTTTAGATTCTTGTGCTTCATTTAATGTCATTTGTTAAGTGACTACTAACAAAATCTTCATATATTAAAAATCGCGACTTACTCATGTGAATAAACTAAGAAAAGCTCTACTGGTTTCGAGCCACAGAAGGGCTCTCCAGTAGGCTGTGCGAAATCTTCGCAGCCCCGCACGCTGCTCATGAGGAACCGCCCCTGTGTGACTCGAAACTAGTAGAGTTTTTCTCAGTATATTCACGTGAGTAACCCGAGATTTGTAGTTTATTAATTTAGTATGTCTCACGATAGTTATTATAAAAATAAATTCTTTATTCTTAAATCATTAAAGCGAGAAGTCTATTTCTCCTTGTTCTTTAAAAAAATTGGGTAAAGTATGTAGTTGCAGGATTTTGAAGTGTGGTGCGTCACTGTCCGTCCTGTTACTTCGACGCCCACTTATAAACATCTATTATTCAATACTAACTCTTTTGTGCAGTTCTTTATTATTGATAAACCTATTTTAACTATAGTATTATCGAGTCAAGAAAAGGTTTTATAGTTAAAATAGGTTTAATGAATAAGAACATAAAGTCTTCATTCAACTGACACATTATTATAATTGGAATTCAATAAATTGTTATCCTTTATAGTGAACAGCTAGAAATTAATATTAAAAAGTAGATCGTCGACTCGTAAAATATTGATTAAAGATTTTGAAAACGAACGGCACTAACTGTGTATGTAGTGCTAATTCATTTGAGCACTAACTCGATCTAGATTTATCTGCTTTTAAGCTTCAGGTGTTTAAAATAACGCTATCCCTTTCTCGCGCTCTGTTTTCGAAAGAGATAGTATTCTTGTTCTAGATTAGTTAGTGAGCAAGAATTAGCACGAATGACATACTAAGCACATACAAAGTAGCTATGTGAATTGAAGTACAAGTGGAATTTGTTGTTTGATTCAATTTTTAATTTACATTTCATATACTATTTGTATGAGATGCATAGCTGGAGAAATGTGAGTGTTATATTTCCTCTGCCTATTCCTACGCGAAGCAAAAGGCATAATGTTATATAGCCTTTTTTGCTAGCTAAAAATATTGTAAATTGTACATATTTTCACATAGCTAAGAGTATGTGCTTATAACACACTATAATGTTAACTAAAATCGCGGGTTACTCACGTGAATATACTGTGAGCTGCGCGACGTCGCTACGACCGCGCACGCTACTCATGAGGAAGAACCCCTCTATGGTTCGAAACTAGTAGAGCTTTTCTCAGTATATTCACTATATTCACGTGAGTAACCCGCGATTTTAGTTAATTTAGTATGTCTCACGATAGTTATTATAAAAACTATAATGTACTTGCAGCAATATGAGTGACTTTAATAATAAAAATCATATATAATATCATATAAAATATATAATTAAGGCAGATATATAGATAGTTATTGATTTATGTTAAAAATTAACAAAATTATGTGTTAATGACTTCTGGCTTCCTTTAGATACCTACATTTGATTACATTTGATTCAGATACCTACTTACGGTTATTATTTTTAATTGTCATTACCTTTCCTTTTGTGATTGTAGAGAAATTTTTGTTGAATGATGTCATCAACTATGTTTTTATTTTTTAAATTGCTATCCTGTAATACAGAGCCATGAGATATGATTATAATTTTCTTTTACGTTTATATTTCTTTGAAGATTTATCTATAGGTATGTTCACAGCATAAATGAGTTACTTTTGTTACAATCTGAAGCTAGCCAAAAGTCAATTTATCAGCTAAATTCTAGCCACAGTAAGTCGCTAACAGTGTAGAATTAAGGTAAGATAGTTTTGTACAGAATTTGCGCCATTCGGAACAGAAGTACTTGTATGCGAGTGAGTGAGACAGATACTTACAAGTGTAACTGTCTCACTCACTCCGTAAATTGTCCTAAAACGTAAGAAGCATATCCAAGTTTAATAGAGATATTTTTGAATACAAGTCTTGTGTAGGTCCTTGAGTTTCGAGTGGTTAGTTATTTGTGTATCAACAGTTCTGCATGTGTTCATATCTAGAAATTGTACTGGCAAGTTGTGTGCATAGATTGTTGTCCGTTTTTTGTATTTCTTAAATATGATTAACTAATATAGGATACTTTGATGATATCTATGATTTTTACTAAGTATAATCCTTTGTTCGTTTCTAATGCAGCAGTTTTGAAGTAACGAACACACAGACTTACAAAATTTCGACAATAAATGAATGTTACATTATTTAACACAACATTTTAATAATAAAATATCTATTTACAAAACATCTACATTTACATTTAACGTTCACTTGCTTTCTTCTCGAGTTTTGCTTCAATCTCCATAATCTTTGCTCTTATAGTTAAGTTGTTGGTCATTTCATAGTAAGTGAAAATAGATGAGGCCATAGCTTGTATTATTACCATGTATGTTAGTTGGTGGTTAAAAGGTCTTGTTATTTTTCTCAGAAAATTGTACATTACTTTCGGACCGTCTTTGAGGTCAGGCACTCTGAAGGTTGAATACCTGTTTGCAAACTGAAACAAATAATTCATCTGTCATTCTCCTGAATAATCAATCACTCATATTATTTAATTTTTTTTTATTAGGTTGTCGACTTTGGTCCTGTTTGAATACCGGTATATGAGACACAATAGAAAATAGATTATGTCTTGTGTGGATCCCTATTTAGGGACATGATAGGTTAAATACTTATGCTTTAGAATGTATTGTATAGATGACCACGGATTTCTTTAGTGATGTGTCATACTTTTGTCCAATTTTTAAAATAAAAATTCATGAATATCTTACCATTAATGCTGATAATGGTGCGAGTATCATAGGATATGCAGTCCCAAGTCCGCACTGTATTGCAGCTGATCTGAACTCGTAACACAATGGACATGCCTGACTCTTCATCAGAAGCAAGTCTGTTGAAATAAACTGAAATTTAAATATATCACTTGAACTTTTGGTACTGGTAGGTAAAAGCCGAGGGTTTAGCAGGAGTTTGTTTTGCGGTTTAATGAGTTTGAAACATCACATTCGACTATCCGATTGGCCCGCTCCAATGAACCAACTAATCACAGCTTGTATGTGGTAAAGATTCATTCTTAAATGTAATATAAACTTTTAGTAAGCTCTTTCTTTTTTCACCTTCATTTAACCTCTTGTATTTAAGACAATAGAAAATGCATTGTCTTGAGTAGATCTACGCTCCGACAGATCAGAAGTT